CGGCCTCCATAATTCCTGTTTTATTAGTCTCTGTGTAACTGTTCCACTTCTCTGCGGTAAGTGTTCTCTGTAAGAGTACAAATGAAGCTGTTAAAGGTCTGGCCAGCAGACAAATTTCAGTAAAGATGTTAAGCATTTTTCTCTCTCACTATCAGCACTCACCACACTAGAGAGCCAGACACTTCCATCGCTAAGTCCTAATATCTATTCAACCTCTGTTCATCCTCTTTCACCCAGTGCATACTAGTCTTGTTATCTATCCTTTTTATATCCCCCCTCGCCCTCCCCTCCCTCTGCATCCCTTTAGCCTCACCCTCTTACCCTCCAGCCTCCTTTCTCTTTCTCTTCATCATCAGTCCACCTGTGCCTGTTTAGTATTGACATCTCCAGCAGCATCAAAGTCAGAAGATGAGGAAGTTTTGAGAGAAATGTATAAAAAACAGCCTTAAAAGACATCAACAGAATGAGTTAGGGGGGTAGAAAATGCTCTGAATTCACATCTCAGCTGCGCTGCTTTCACCACCACAGGCAACAAGAGCAGTAGAAGGGGGAGGAAGGAGAACAGTTCTCTGTTCTGGCCTCAGAAAGACATACTGTAGTCAGCGTTACTTTCCACCCTGAGGTGGTTTAGGGAGCGGAGGAGGGGAGGATGGCACTGAGAAAGGAAGGAAGGTGGGTTGATGTTAGTGATGCAGTGTAACATCTTTTCTTGAAATGTATTTTTCCCAGGGAGTTAAATACTAAAGAGTGTTTTGGCGTGCATCACTTTAGCCTCATTTTAGCTTCCAACAAAACAAACAGTGTTGTGTGCAGGAGCTTAACAACAGTGTGCTGCTGGAACTTTGTAGCTTGGTTTGAGACAACAGGACTGACACCCACAGCTTTCTTTTCTTTCTTTCTGGTTTTTTAAAACTTGCTACTACGATTGAATCATGGAAGGTTTGTCTGATCATCAAGGTAGGATCACTTGAGCTCGGACCAAGAATTGGATTCAGGTCAGCTGCTCCTGGTAGCGTGAGTCAATTCACTCGCTTAATTAACAAAAATGGACAATTATAAATATACATTCAGCCAACCATCATTTTATAGTTCCACCTGTGATCCAGTACACTCCCAGGCATTGTGAGACATATAATCCCACAAGTTCTGGATCTTATTCTGTGCCTTCTCCCTGCTGGATGCGCCTAGAAAATTTCCAAAGGAAGGCCTCGAGCTTGCATGCAATCACATGCCCAAACCACCTTAACGGTCTCCTTTTGATGCAAAGAAACAGCTGCTCTACTCTGAACTCCACTGACACATACAAACTCTTCTTTCTGTTTGAATTCAGGTACACACTTTGCTATTTTGGATTCTCCAAGACAAAAAGAATAAAATATAAAAAAGAGTTGCGACATTATCTCTTTTTTTTCTTCCTTCATATCTTTGGTGCTTCATCTCACAGCGAGACAAGTTTCAAGCTGTCCTCGTAACAACAGGAATAAAATTCTGACAGTATCTCAATGTCTGTCAATGTGACTGCTACAGTCCTAATCAATTAATAGGAATGCAACAGATGGAAGCATTGTGTAAAACAAATTGAAGGTTGGTTGAAGTAACAGAAAGCTCAGTGTTTAGTTGGAAACATCACAAATTGTTTGGATGTGAATGCAAACTGTAAATTACAATTCAAACCTCCACCACAGCAGTCGGCCCACCTTTAATCCGCATGATCACAAGGTACTATTTTTTACTTTGTAACAACAAATATGCACAGATGCCTGTGAAAATACAAAAATATGTAATAGTTGTAGTAGGATTCACATCTGAACCACCTGCAGCATCACATGGCATGCAGGATATTAAAAAAAGCAATGCAGTTATTTATACATGTGGAAAAGCAGCAGTATTTGGTTGAATAGTTTATTATTTATCCTGAAATGAGACGATGCATAATTATCCACAGAATCCCCAATGTAATGTTTATGAAAAAAAGCTCTATATT